CTTTAAAAATCCGGTACGAATCTTAAAAAATGTTAAAAAATAACAAAATGGCGGTCACTTTAATAAAAATCTTTGAATTTAAATTACATACTCTAAAACCCCACCTTCTTTTTTGTTCCAATTTTTTTTTGGTAATTGTTTTTATAGTAAAGAAATTGATTTTTAAAACGACGTAATTTTATTTGTCCGAAATTACAAATAGTCGAACGAACAATTAACAGAAGTATTTTGGCACGATTTTTAAAATTCATTAATCACGATTTTCCTGACAATTTCTGATTGGTTAATTTTTAAAATCGCGACAAAATTTATGTCAAATAAGATGTGGGAAATATATATTTATTCGAGATCCAAAGACAAATATATATTTGATTTAAAAATATCCAATATTTGACTATTATGAGAATGGGGAATGAAAAATCTCTTTCAAATATATAAAGTTAGAAAACAAAAATTTTGTTTCCTAAAAGTGTAAAAACATTTTTTGAAATAACCAAATAGTACTTTTCATTTTCTATTGTGTGCATTATAAATGTAAAAGTGAAAATGTAGAGTATTCGTTTCGCACAATGTATAAATGAAGTTGGATGGGTCGAAAAGTTAGTGTGTTGGAGTGAGTCAAAAGCATGGCCCGGGTTGCAACAGGCAACTGTTGCAATGGAAGAAGCTATATATGTATAAGTATTTATGTGTGATTCACATATATTCACAAAATGTAGTTTCTTCTGTAAAAATTTGCAAATCAAAATATTCAAATGAAATATTTTCTCAAAATATATAATTAAAATTATAACTTATTGCGAAAAATTTTTTTTAAATAACATATATATTTTATTTTATTTTATTTTATCGTATCAAATAAATAGTTATTTGAATCAAATCCAAAATATTCAAATCAAATAAATGGAATATTCAAAGCTAATAAATAATTATTTAAATCAATTATGAAATTAGTATTAAATAATTTATAGTTTACTTGAATCCATTAAATAAAGTTATTGTATCAAATACTTTTTATTTGTTTCAATAAAATAAAATATTTGAGTGAAATAAATAAATTAATGGTTTCAAGTAAATCATTATTATCGTTTCAAATAAATATTTAATCGATTGAAATATTTTTTTATTTGTCTTGATGAAATAGTGTATTAGGATTAAATAATGAATTATTTGTATTAAATAATTCAGTTTATTTGAATCAATTACATAAATTTATTGTGTCAAATACTTTTTATTTGTATCAAATAAACGAAATATTTGAGTTAAATAAATGCGATTCAAATAATTCAAGTTATTTGAATCGAATACATATTTTATTGATCCAAATAAAAAGTATTTGAACCAATTAAATATTTTTCAAATAATTTGAAGTATTTGAATCAAATAAATTTTTTTTTCAGTGTATACAAATCTTTGTAGAAATATTTTTTATAATACACCGAAAAAAATATTATCTAAAGTTATGCTATACTGAAAAAAAAATTTTAGTTGTTTCAAATAATCGCAGTTACTTGACTATTATCAAATAAATATTTGTATTAAATAATTATTTCAGTCACCTAATTGGTAAATAGAAATTATTTCTTCAAATACAGTTTATTTAATTCAAATAAAAATTATTTGGTTCAAGTAAATATTTATTTGATAATAATCAAATTTGAAACAAATAAATTTTTTTTCACTGAATAATTTATCAAAAATGTAAAAAAAATACATACGATACATAACAAAAATTGTACATAAGATCAATAAAGGCTACCTTAAAGATGTTACAAATAAAAAATAATGTCTCCATTCTTCCCTTAAAATAAGTTTTTTTTCTGTGTGTGCGGCAAAAAAAAGAAACGAAAAATACAAGAATAAAAAGATAAGAAGAAGAGATCAAAGATATAGAGAAGGAAGACAAATCCAAAGCATGTAAATAGCAGCACAATACTGTTTGCCCTATACACTTGTTCATATTCGCATACGTGCATCACCGGATGTCTCCATGCGCAAATACGCCTCTATTGGAAAATACACTATACATATATATATATATGTATAAAGACAGAAACGCGCCACAGTGGCCGGAAAACGGGCGTGGATGACACGAAAATTAATAGCTAAAGAGTAGAAAATTAATAGGGTGGGAATAACATGAGACGAGGAATATAACGCATATCACGCAGAGTACACACAATAATATTCGCGTAATGTAACGAACCTCCCGAAACACACGCGTGTATTTTCCCCGTTGACGAGATATATATATATATATATATGAGAAAGCCGATTGGATCGATATCAAAATTAAAGTCAGTGGAGGACGATGATGCGAATATATATATATATATATATATACGGTCACGAGATTAGTTTCGAAGGCGGAAGGGAGCGTAAATATTTTTCTGAGCTTCGATTTTCTGTCACGACTCTAGAGCATCGTTCCCAACAAAATTATTTTTTGCAGCCTGTCGCTTCGAATTTCCTCGTTCGCTTCTTGTGAATTCAATTTCGAATCGTATTGCTAAAATTCGTTAGTATGCACGTGGAAGAAAATATCTCCACTGAAGAAATATTCCTCGAACCGTATATACGCGCTTTTTTTTTCACACGCCAATAATGTATATCATTTGCTTGAAATTTATGATTTTTCACAAAAAAAAAAAAATATTTTAAATTGGAAAAACATCGAATTTTTTTTCTAAATCAAATTATCTACGATATTATTTCGTATCTATTTATAACAATTATAATAGTCAATAATAATAATAATAATAATAATAATAATAATAATAATAATAATAATAATAATAATAATAATAATAATAAAAATAATAATGATAATTTTATAATTATTATTATAATATATAGGGTTAGTTGGGGGTAAATAGGGACAAAATCGCTATTTTCAACAAATTACGTAAGTTTCTTCCTTTAAAAGGTTAAATATTTGCGGGTTTATTTTTTTTAAAGTTGTTATTTACATTCCCAGGATTAATTTTATGCAGCAGAAAAAAATTTAGATAAGCTTTAAACGCGCATGAAACTGACTGTCCCTATTTACCCCAAAATTTAAAAAATTTCATAAAATTCTGGGTAAATGGGGACAGCATAGTTTCTAAGAAAGTTTTAAGAAAAAAGTTTCCTTAAGTATATTACTGTATTAAGGGATGAAAAAATTTGAAAAAAAATTTGTAGTAGATATATAATAGTTGAACCAATTGAAATTTTTTAATTTTTTTTCATTTCAGTATTTTGTCTCGCATTTGAAAAAAAACAGACTTAAAAATCATACCAAATTTTTTTCTTATTCCTTATGACTTTCATAACAGAAATTCACTTGAATTTTTTATTTTTGTCAATTTTTTGGCTCCATTTACCCTGAGTTTTCAAATTTTTGGGGTAAATGGGGACAGCTTATTATTAACCAAATTAACAAAAATCAAAAATTCAAGTGAATTTCTATTATGGGAGTCATAAGGAATAAGAAAAAAATTTGGTATGATTTTTAAGTCTGTTTTCTTTGAAATGCGAGACAAAATACTGAAACAGTTTAACTTTGACTTTCAAGTTTTTATGCATTGAGCGATAACTTTTTTTATCTTGCTGACAATTGTCAAAATAAAAGCTTGTCAATACTCAAAACCTCTTGCAGGTGATCTGAGGTTAAAATATTGACGTTGAACTTCATTTTAAAACTGTAAATTAAGTTCCCCAAAACCTCTTTTCCCCATTTTTACCCCAACTGACCATAATAATAATTATTTATAATAATTATTTAAATATAACCTCATGTAAAAAGATAATATGTATCTATGTTACATTATTATAATAATAATAAATAATAAATAAATATAATAATAATAATAATAATAAATAATAAAAATTATAATAGTAAAAATAGTAATAATAATTATAATTTTATAATAATTATGATTATAATATATAATACTAATTATTTATAATAATATAATTATAATTAAAAAAAAAATAATAATAAATGTTACTAGTTACTAATTTACATCTGTAATATAATTATTTTCGTCAATATAATTATTCCTCGTTACAAACACAAAATTTATTGGACAATCCAAATTTGTTTTTATCTTATTAAATTTTTAATTTAATTAATTTTAATTTAATTGAAATAAAAAAAACATTAAATAATGAAAGTTTGTTTGAATTAATCAAAGATTTGATTGAATAATCGAAATTGCAGTTTAGTCATATAAAACCTATATAAGTATGTCAATTCAAATTCTATATAAAATATAAAAAATATTCAGATCGAAAAAGAAATACATATATTGTATAAGAAAAGAGGATCTTGTCTTGAATTGAGAAATAAATAAAATTTGTTTGACGGGATTAAATTCGATCTGTAACAAACACACGCAATGTAGATGACACACGTGGTTGAAATTCCGTGAAAGCAAGTGGACTGCATGTACACTTTATCATAACCCAGTGACGCCAAATATTGATTTTGACACGTACACGTGACGGGAACTGAATTTATACATACATATATATATAGAGAGAGAGCACTGCACAAGAAATACACATATACAAATTCATATATATATACGAACATGAATGTCCAATTCTATGAACATATATTTATCGCTAATGACTTATGTCAACTCACTACTCAAAAGATCCTTCACTATACATTGTATCAAATGGAACTTATTAATATTTTCTTATAAATTGTATGAAAATGAGTTAAATTTCTTTATTACTAAATAAATTTGTAAAATGTTAAATGCAATTGTATCTTTAGTATAGTTCTTTTAACTTTCAGTTGACAGAAAATTTGAGGTTAGGAGTTTATACTACGAAATTAACAATTATAATAACAAAAGTATATAAATATTTGCGTCATTATTATTATAATGACGAATTTATAATAAGAATTTATATTTTCTATATAAATACAATTCTCAAATATCTAGATAAAATATGATAAAAACGTGTATACCGGCGCAGTGAACCGGTAACGCGTATCTACTTACAAAGTCCTGAAAATCATAATTGTTTCACGTCGCCAACAATTTCCTTATAATTTCCATACATTGATAACTTCTTTACTTTAAATGAATGCACTTGTTATAAAAAATATTCGACAAAATAGAAGAACAATTTGAACAAATTTCGACAACTTGCTGCTTGCTTTGCATTTGCTTTGCATTTGCTCTGCAAGCGACTTGAAGCGACTTGCTTATGACGTGCGCGCGCAACAAATTTTCAGTTATCGAAAATTAAATAATGAATTACTAATTAATTCAATTTAATTAATTAATACTAATATTTTATATTTAATTAATTAATTCTAATATTTTATATTTAATTAATTAATTGTTTACTAATTAATTAAATTGAATTAATTAGTAATTAATTAATTAATTCAATTTTGACAATTTAAAATTGTTGCACGCGCACACAAGGAAGTCAGGGTACAGTCACTTGGGGCAGATTTGCAGATTAGAAAAATAGATTTCAACCAATCACATGCTTTATCGCATGAAAGTGCATTTTGATTGGTAAAACAATTACTGATTATTGTAGAAGCACCTTGAACCTATCAGACGTTTAGTATTACGAATTGTGAAAACTAGGAGCGCTACCGTCGTATCACGTGACTAATTCTCTAATTTAATTAATGAAAACTGTCCATTAAAAAAGTAAAAATTGATATACAAATTCAAATTAATATAGATTTATCAATTTTAGTACATTACTAGACATTACTTATAATTATGTCATAAATTTGAAAATAATTAACTCCGACATTATATTACATAATAATATTTAAAATCTAATTTTTAATTTAATTAATATTTTCATAAAAGAAATATAATAAAAATACTCTAACCTTAATTAATTAAAAGCATTTAATAATTATTAATTACTAATTAAAATTGTTTACAATTGATAATAATAAGAACTGAATGATATAATTAAAATCCTATTTCTGATTTATTTATTTTATTTGCAAAATTCCAAACAGAAGAATCATATTGCAAATGAATTGAACAATTAACGTCTCCTCGCGACTAAAGTTCGAAGAAAATTCAAATGTTTAATATTTCTTATAAGAACAACAGATTGTCGCCAGTTTTTCGAGTCAATGTTTTTACAAGCGGTTATAGTGTCATTGCATGAGCTCCATGTAAAAGGAGGTCATGGTGCAACCAAATAGCAATAATAATATACCAGAACTATGTATAAGTTCATGTCACGCCAATGACTAAACCAGAAATATATGAAATTCCCGCAAACTGACAACTTACGACATCTAGCGAACATTTGCTCTAACTTGAAAAAATTTTTAAATTCAAAGGAAGATAAAAAATATTATATAAACTCTACTTTATCGACCTTCTATGACAATTGCACAAATAAAACTTTTTCGCAATTCTCAATGAAAATAATTTACTATTATAATTATACAGAAAGTAAATAAAAATATAAACAATATGATTTAAATATATAAATATAAAATTTTCGTTTAAAAATAAGATATGTGAATATCTTTTTTACAAAGACAAATGATACTTACATTCTTGTCAACGATCTTCCATTTCTCTATGCTCACAGCCTCCAATTCTGCATTCCAGATTATATTCGATATGTTTATCACATTTAGATAAATCGGTACATCTAATTTATTGAACGAAAACATTATTAACAGCAAGTTGCCAATTGTTGGCATTGTTGTAAGTTATACATACTTACATTTTGGACGGAAGTACAGTACTGCCATCTAATGGCGAAGTTTCCTACCATCATTTGTGTACCGGCTGAAATTCAAAAAGTTTTAAAATTAATTTTAATATTTACATTATAAAAAGTAATTTTTAAATAAATATTAATTAATAGTGTAAAATATACCTTATTTATTATTTAAATAAAATTTATATAAAGAAAAATTTGAATATAAATTAATTTAGAATTTACGCATATTACGTAACTGTCTTACGTTTAACTACGCAACCCTGGTTGGCATCACTGCAATTAGTATTTGTTTTGATGTAGTGCAACACTGATTAAAAACCCCTGTTGTCAATCTTTATTCTTTAGGTTTTGATATATTAATTAAAATATTTTACATAACTTATTATCAAACTCAGTGAGTCAATTGATGTATCGAAACTTTGTGAAAATGAAAATTTTCATTTGAATTATTTTATCACAAGATTGGATAAAACATCTATAAACGCAAGTGAAAAATAGACGGAAACTGTAAAAAAGAAAAAATGTCACAAGACAAGTGAAATTGTTAACCAAAACTATTTTCGGCCTCTGAGGCACGTAGAATTCCTTTATTTCTCGTTTAGTGGTCCAGAAAAGATTTAAAGGTGAGCATTTTGTACGCGATCATTTTTTAATTTATGTGTGTACGTACGAAAATATTTTTGTGAATGTACACTGTAAGTATTTCACTGACATTTTACAGTTTATCATAAATTGTGTAGGTGGTGTGGTTATCTACTCCAATATCAATGACAGTCTGAAAATTTTTATTTTATTTATTTTCTTATTCATTACTAAGAAACAAGTACATTTTCTTTAAATATAATAAAAAAGATTCTGTATAATTAAAACTCATTTCATTTTAATCAATATAGAAATTGTGTACATTTTTTTTGAATGCATTTTTTTATTTATTTAATATCTTAGTTTAGATTAAAAATTTTTTTTCACTTTCAAAAGTGTGCTTTGTCTCGTGATCTTATCAGTGTTATTTCAATTTTTTTCTAAAACATGCGAAACAATCTATCGTTGACAATTACAATAATGTTGATCATTGTTGCTCATTTTGTTCTTGGCTGTTTGAAAAAAAATAAAAAAATTTTGTGAAAAATTTAAAATACTTAAAATTATCATGACAATTTATTTTATTTTAATTTAATTTCTTTTTAAGAAATTTTTATTTAACGAAATTTATACTGAATAGAAATTTCATTTATCTCAATTTTTCCTTTGACGGAATTTTCTTTTTTCAAATAATTTTTACTTAACCAAATTTTCATTAAAAATTTATTAAAACAATTTTTTAAAATCGTTTTCTATAAATATTTTCCTTTTTTTGACAAGTCATTTTGCATAAAACAGTCTTTTATTCTAAAAATGGGAAATTACTATCCATTAGAACAAAAGAAAAAAATTCAAGTTTTAAAAACTTAGATGAAATTTTTGTGAATTCAAAATCTTGAAGATTTTTTTTAACTAAAAACTTTCTTTTTATTGAATTTAACAATTTTTAAAACATTGACCATAGACAAGATTTTGAAAAAGTGACTGAAATTTTTTTTTACCATTTGAACACAAAACTTTGTCAAAATTCTTAATTTGAATATTTTTCATAAATCATAAGCCAAAAGTTTTGAATGTTCAAATGAACGAAATTTTTTTTTCAATTTCTTTAAGTACAAATTTTATTACAAAATATTGTTTTAAATATCTAAACGGAAGTTATTCATTTAATAATTGTTTAATTTTACATTGCCATTATAATTTTTGATAATTTATAGATTGAAAAAAATATTTCGTTCATTTGAACGTTCAAAACTTTTGGCTCATCATAAATCAGAATTCAAATAGTTTAAAAAAAAGAAACATAACATTTTTCTTCGTGATAAATTTATAAAATTTATGTAGATAATATTTAATAACAATAGTTAATAATAATAAAATATTCATTAACTAATTAAATATTAAAAATCGATTTTAACGAGTTATTTGGCGCCTTAATGTTAATCATAGGCCTTAAATTTTGATTTAATAACGAATTGTTATTTGATGGAATTTTCTTTTGAACAAAATTTTCTTTAACAAAAATAATGATCTAATTTTAATTTAACTGAATGATCGTTTGATGGGAATTTCTTTGAAAATTGTTATTTTATTTTTATTTAACGAATATTTGCATTTAATAAAATTTTCATTTAACCGAATTTATACTTGATAAAATATGTATTTGGCAAAATTTGCATTAAAATAGAATTTTCATTTGAGAAAATTTCCATTTCGAATTTGTTTTTCATCAAATTTTCATTTAACCGAATTTTTACTTGACAAAATATGTATATTTAGCCAAATTTAGCATTTAATACAATTTACATTTGATAAAATTTTCATTTTAGACGAATTTATTTTTGATAAAATTTCCATTTAATCGAATTTGTTTTTTATCAAATTTTCATTTAACCAAATTTTTATTTAACGAAATATATATTTGGCAAAATTTGCATTTAACAAAATTTTCAATTAACCAAATTTACTTTTGATGGGTTTTTTCATTTTTAATAAAACATAATTTTATTTTCTTTAAAAGAAAAATTTTCTTTTAATCATTTCTTTATTTTTGCTGTTTAAATTTGTTTTCATTATTATTTATATGTTTCTTTATTTTTGCTGTTTAAATAATTTTTATTGTTTGTATGTATATGTGTTTCTTGATTTTTTTGAGTTGAATTTTGTGCAGCAAGTGTTGGCTCTAGTAAAGAAGGAGAAAAGAAAAAAAAAAAAGCTCGACTGGTTGGTGAATGGTTTTGCAGATAGACTCGGTGTGGGGCTGGGCGTCACCCCCGCTGCGCCTCCAGGTAGCCGGGGGGACTCGTGGCGCTTCGGGGAGCGCGGGTATCACTGCCCAATCCTCCCAGAGGATGGGCGAAATGGTCGTTGATCGCGCTCCCTCACCAGCACGCCTCAGTCATACCTCCGAGAAACATCCTCGTGCAACACTCACCGAGCTTAATGTTCTACGTCGTCATCGGGAACTTTGCGATGTTGTTTTAAATGTTGGCTCAAGAAAAATTTTCGCTCATCGTGTCATTCTCTCCGCATGCAGTCCATATTTTAGGTAAATATTTTTTTTAATTTGCCAAAAAAAAAAAAAAATTTTTTTTGAATATTAAAATATTGAATTTTTTTTTAGAGCAATGTTCACGGGCGAATTGGCTGAATCACGACAGACTGAAGTTACAATTCGTGATATCGACGAAATGGCAATGGAATTGTTGATAGACTTTTGTTACACCTCGCATATTATTGTCGAAGAGGCGAATGTTCAGACACTATTGCCTGCCGCTTGTCTTCTTCAATTGGCCGAGATTCAGGATATTTGCTGTGAATTTCTGAAACGACAATTGGATCCCTCAAATTGTTTGGGAATACGAGCGTTTGCCGATACACATTCTTGTAGGGAATTATTGCGCATTGCCGACAAATATACGCAACATAATTTTCAAGAAGTGATGGAGAGCGAGGAATTTCTCCTGCTACCAGTGGGACAATTAGTCGATATCATATCTTCAGATGAATTGAACGTACGTACTGAGGAGCAAGTTTTCAATGCTGTTATGAATTGGGTCAAGTACAATGTGACGGAACGACGACAACATTTGGCACAAGTTTTGCAACATGTGCGACTACCGCTGTTGAGTCCGAAATTTCTTGTGGGCACAGTTGGATCTGATTTGCTAGTTAGATCTGATGATGCGTGTCGGGATTTGGTGGATGAGGCGAAAAATTATCTTCTCTTGCCGCAGGAGCGACCATTGATGCAGGGTCCAAGAACGAGACCAAGGAAACCGACGAGAAGGGGTGAGGTTTTGTTTGCAGTTGGTGGATGGTGTTCGGGTGATGCAATTGCCAGTGTCGAGAGATTTGATCCAAATACAGCGGATTGGAAAATGGTTGCACCAATGAGCAAGAGAAGATGTGGAGTCGGTGTTGCTGTTCTTAATGATTTGTTGTACGCCGTTGGTGGACACGATGGACAAAGTTATTTAAATAGTATCGAGAGATATGATCCGCAGACAAATCAATGGTCATGTGATGTTGCGCCCACCACGTCCTGTAGAACTAGCGTTGGAGTCGCTGTACTCGATGGATTCCTTTACGCTGTCGGCGGACAAGACGGTGTTCAATGTCTAAATCACGTAGAAAGGTAGCTACAAAAAATTACAGAATTTTTTTTTGGTATTTCAGGAATCAGAATCTCACTTTTTCACCTTTTTGTAAAAATTTTCTCACATATTTTTCTAATTTTTATCTTTTTTTTAAAAAAACTTAATTCAAAATTATTCTTTAAGGTACGATCCAAAGGAGAACAAATGGTCGAAAGTATCGCCGATGACGACACGAAGACTTGGTGTTGCTGTCGCTGTATTGGGTGGTTATTTATATGCAATTGGTGGTTCGGACGGTCAATCGCCATTAAACACTGTAGAAAGATATGATCCAAGACAAAATAAATGGTCACCCGTTCCTCCCATGTCGACTAGGCGTAAGCATCTTGGCTGTGCTGTATTTAATAATTTAATTTACGCCGTTGGGGGACGAGACGATTGTATGGAACTTTCTAGCGCAGAGCGCTATAATCCTCACACAAATTCATGGAGTCCAATTGTCGCCATGACTTCAAGGAGAAGTGGAGTATGTTCACGAAAATTTTCTCTCAAAATTCACTTTTTAATTTCATTTAAATAATTAATTTTTTTTTTCATTTTGTGAAAAATTTAAGAAAAGTGGCAAAATTATTATTTTAATTTTTAAATTGTTAAATAAAAATTAAATTTGCAAATTTCATTTTTTTTTTATTTTTGCAGGTTGGATTAGCTGTAGTGAATGGACAGCTTTATGCAGTCGGAGGTTTCGACGGTACGGCATATTTAAAAACAATTGAAGTATACGATCCAGAGCAGAATCAGTGGAGATTATGCGGCTGCATGAATTATAGAAGACTTGGAGGTGGTGTAGGAGTGATGAGAGCACCGCAAACTGAAAACTATATTTGGTAGCTCAGGCCCCCCTCTTCAGCCCTCTCGGCTGAATCTCCAGTAACTCCGGTAACTCCAGTGACACCAGTTACCCCACCGGCACAAGTGTCAGCACCAATTGTTACTACAAACACTAGAAAACGTTATCGTCGCTCAATGAGCATTATTTAAATTACGATAACAAAATTTTCAAAAGACTTTTGCCTCTTCTAAATATTGTCACAACTGCCTCTCTCATATTTCCTTTATCTTCATTTAATTCTCTTTTTTTGTTTTCTTAAATTAATTTCTTTTTTAAAAAAAAAGAAAACAATCAAATTTCTTACAAACTTCCCTCTTTTTTTTTGCCCATGCTTCCTTTTATAGATAAGACTTTTTTTTTCCAAAAAAAAAGTTTTGAAAATTAAATTCCTATTGTAATAATAATTTATTATTTAATTTATTTGACGCTTCCCTTTTGATAGACTTAAAAAAAAATTTCTCTTTTGGGAGAAAAAAAATTTATTCTGTGATTTATTAGGAAAGTGACAAATAGAAAAAAAAATAGAAAGGCAAAAATAAATATTCCAAGAGACTTGGCGGCTAATAAAATTAGTCAAATTAATGTGTACAGCTTCCATTCGTCAATAGACGAATTGACTTTTAATATTTAAGTATTATATTATTTATCAAACAATATTTTTCGTATTTGTATACGAAAAATGTGGATTTTTCAAATAGAATAAATTATGGGATTGTATAATTAAAAATTACGCATCGTTGAAAGTATTGCTTCCATTTTTACGAAAAAAAAAAATAAATAAATAAAATATGGGAAGTCATCTTCACTTTTTAAAAAGCTTAACTTTCATTTCATAATTAGAATCATTTGGTTTTTTTTACAATCCTCGAGATTAAATAACTTGCAATCAATTTGATTTTGTAATTAAAATCGAATAAAGTAAAAATAAAAAAAAATTTAAACTAAAATAAAAATAATAAAATTATAATGAACAAAGTGTTAAATTAAATTACAAAGAAGAAAATAAATTTACGAACAAAGAAACTAAAGAAATAATAATTGAAGATAAAGATTTAGTAAAAAAAAAAAAAATTAAATACCATTGAATAGATTAAAATTGACTTTAAAATATAAACATAAAATGTTATAACAGAGTTTGAAAATAGATAATTTACTGAATAAAATAAAAATCATTTTGTTAAGCTTAAATGTAAATTTGTAAAAGCTAAGATTTGTAAAGTGCAATAGTTATTTAAAAAAAAAATTAATGTAACTGTGGAAATGTAAAGAATGAGAATTTACAAGTATAATTTAGAAATTGGAGTGATTAGATTTTTTGATGAGCTGAAAGACTTAATTAAATTCAACTTGACTTATTAGTAAAAATTCTATTTTTATTATGCGCCTATTTTTGTAAGTTTTTCTTTTTACCGATAACAACTTGATTATATACTATATGTAATAGATTTTTAATATAGTAATGTTTATTTTACAAGTGTGGTGAATGTGTGTCAGTTATTTTTCAATTTATATATCACAAAACTGATATTTGAAAATTTATTCCAATCATTCTTTAAAAAAAAAAAAAATATTTTCTGCAGTTGCAAACTAAAAAAATTAAATCATTTTTTCCATTAAAAAATTGAAAAAGAAAATAATTAGTCAATTATCTGACTTTTTGGTCTAACAGCAAAAAAATAGTATAATTGTACTTAAAACACAATTCTCTAATGAACAATTGTCCTTCAAGTTTACTTATATATTCATTCATATAATATGCATAAAATGATTGTAAGCTTCACTTGAACTGAAAAATACGCGAACAATCTTATTTCGCATTTGCAGTTTTCTTGTATAACATTGAAAATTTTTATATAAAAAAAAAAGAAGTGAATTGTAAATGTATCATTGTTTTTTATGTATATATTAAAATTGTGAGAATGTTGAGGAAAATATATATTGTTAAATCATTAAAATCAGTATTTTCATTGATACGAATTTTTATATATTAAAAAAATTGAATTATAAATAATTTAATTTATTATTTATAATTAATAATTAATTAATTATTAATTTATTCATTATTTATGTAATTTGAATATTTTTCAAATTTTTGTGGGTTAAAATGAAAAAGCTTAGAAAAACATGTAGAGTGAATAAAAAATAAGTAGAAATTTTTTAATTCAACTTCTTTTTTTTAATCAATAATATAAAATTTACAAATATAAGATAAATTTTTATAAAAAAATAATATAACACTCTTCTTAAAATTTTTCTCCAAATTCGGCTTCGTAAAGTACCTTTAATATATTTATCTCGACCCTAGATCGTGTTTTCGGTGGTAATCGTCTCAAACTCACTGCTAGTCTCTCGCAAAATGTATCCACTTCATTTGCCTTATCGGATTTTTGTTCTTTATATTCCACAGATTCATTAACAATTTTATTTTCATGTTCCTTTGACAAAGTTAAAATCTCATCTGAAATAAATTATTCAATCGTATTTAAAAAAAAAATTCCTGACCCTCAATTATTTTAAAATAAATAATAAACAAAAAAAAATTAATAACAATTTCAATTTTAACTGATTCAAAACTTTTATTTATTTAAAACAGTAATAATAATTATAGTTTACATAAATATTTTTCATTTTACTGGGCATTTAAAATTCTTTTTAAAATGAGAATTATAAAATAAAGAAAATAAAAATAATTTTGGTATGTAAAATTACAAAATTAAAATGAACTTACTTTTTTCTTCATTTGATTGTTCAATTGTCGAATCATTCATACTTGAAGTAGGACTCATTGAATTTAAATCCACTGGTAATGAAGATATTTCATTGTTTGCACTCCTAAAAAAAATGTTTCAATTAAAAAAAGTAACAAAAATAAAATTATAAATAAAAAATCAATAAATTTAAAATAAATTCTGTTTTCAATGAAAATAAATTTAGTAAAAAAAGAAACATACTCTGATTGATTATCAAAACTAAGATTATTTACATCTACGAATTCATTCTCTCTGCAGAGGTTTTGATCTTCTTTGCTTTTACATTTTTTACTTGGAACTTCTTCATTATCTGCAAGAAAAATAATTTAAATTTAAAATTGATAAATATAAATTATTAATTAGGTTTATTATTATAAATTCTAAATAATTTTATATTTTTTTATTTAACAAAGTTTTTTGAATTCTCCCGCATTTATTAGCCATTAATGCTCATGCGTGTAAAATGTCGTCTGCTAAAATTAGTTTATTTTGACAATTTTAAATATATACAAACAAAGATTTAATTAACACAAATTTAAAAAATAACAAGTCATGATTAATTATTATACTTAGTTATAAAAAAAGAATCTTTGCTTTGCAATGTCATTCAATTATTTTGATTTCATTTGTTTATTTTTTTTGTAAGTGAATTTTACAAGTGAGAAGTTTTTTGTTTTAAATACTTCATTGCAATTTATTATAATAAAATAATTTGCTCAGTTAAATATCATTGAATCAAGAAATAAAAATGAAGGCCGCTAACTTAATTGCAACAAGGAATTGTTTTAAAACGATAATTCGAAACCGGTGAGTATTTATTTGACATAACCTCGAAAAAATTGATAAACGCACTATTAGCAAAAAAATAATTTTTTTTTCTATTAATAATTAATGAATATATATATAGATCAACGGAACCAGCGAGGGCAATGCAGGCTGTTGTTAAAACTAAAGCGCCAACAATTGACATTCAAGATGTTTCTAGATTCTCACAACTTAGCGAAGTATGGTGGAATACATCGGGCGAAATGAAACCACTTCATGCATTAAATCCACTTAGGGTACAATTTATTCGCGATGGATTAGCGAATATTGGTCACGAGGCATCGGATCCTTCTAAACCCCTTGAGGGAATTTCAATGATCGAAATTGGTTGTGGTGGTGGAATTCTATCAGAACCTTTGGCACGCATCGGTGCTGATATAACTGGAATTGATCCATCCGGTGAATTAATTCAATGTGCAAAAAAACACGCTTCACTAGATCCTTCTTTATCAAAGCGTTTAAATTATATTCAAACATCAATTGAGGAATTAACACGTTCAAATACAAAAACTTATGACGCTCTTGTTGCTTCCGAAGTTTTGGAACATGTAGCGGACAAAGAAACATTTCTCAAAGTAAATTATATATTATATAAATTATTTTTCTCTAATTTGAATAATTTTTTTAAAAAAATTCATCTAATTTCAGTATTGCACAGATTTATTGAAACCTGGTGGTTCAATTTTTTTAACAACAATGAATAAAACACTTCCATCTTGGCTTGGGGGAATAATTGCAGCTGAATATATTCTAAAAATGGTACCAATTGGAACTCATGATTGGAATAAATTTATTTCACCAAGTGAAACACGAAGATTACTTGAAAAGTGTAAGTTTAAAAAAAAAATTGGAAATTTTATGTTGAAATTTGATTAATATTGTTAATAATTTATTTTCAGACAATTGCAGAACTAAATTGATTCATGGATTGATGTATAATCCGTTTAAAAATGAATGGCACTGGTCGTCATTGACTCCAATCAATTATGCGATTCATGCCATTAAAAAAGGGGAATAGTTTCTTAAAATATAAGTGTTGTAAATAATTATGTAAACATTTAAACAAGTTTACTTTAAGAAATTCTTTAAACACTTACTATTATGCTTAAAAAGCAAATTTTCTAGTTTTTATAAGTTGTCAACAAAAAGAATGATAATAAAATTTTCTTTAAAACATAATATTTTATGAGAATTTCAAATTTAAATATTTCATTAATTAATTATTTATTATTTAGAGTTTAAATAATTTATAAAGTTGATTTTAAATATTTTTAAGAAAGCAGAAAAATAAGTTTCTTTAAAGTATAGAAAAAAAGTATTTATATTTAAACTTTACAAATGAGTTTTAATTTATTAAAAATATTCAATGTTCCTTAAAGAAATTTAAATTAGTATAAAATTTAGACTTTGGATTTTACATTTTTACAAAAATTTTCAACAAAATACATACGTTTTTTTTTTAGTATACAATCCAGATCTTCTTCAGATCGTCTTTATTTCAATTACTTAACAAATTTGTAACAAAAATTCTTCTCTAAGTTAATTATTTTCAGTAATTTTAATGAAATTCTTCACAAATTCAATTAAAAAATAATTAGAAAATAAAATTGAGGGGCTGGAAACAATAACAACCAGTACGCTCGGCCGGTCGCTTTGAAGCCAGTCAACACGTCAAAAAGGTGAAAAAATTGAAACTCAAAATTCGGATTCTTCAAAAGCTTCACTTTATAGAAGATAAAAAATACATCTTTTTTCTCTCAGAAATTTTTTTCTAAATCCAATATTTTTGATAATAAAAGCAAAAAACCCAAAAAAAAATTTTCTCAAATTTAATTAAATTTTGAAATATAAACGATCATTTCTTTCACAAATAGTAATAAATTTGTTTACAACTTGGTATACATACTAAATTAGGTCTAATAACGCCATTAAAACATTAGAAAAGGCAAAAAAAATTATTGTTTTATTATTTTTAATTAAAAATTGAAAGAGGTCGATATTCACATTTTCTAACTTTTGACGATAAATTGTCTGCAGGGAATTTCAAAACTGTAAGAACTTCTCTTATAATATTTATTCACTACTATTTCAGGAAGTTTTCTGCAAAATTCCAAATCAATTCCTGTTATAGTTTTTAAAAAAATTAATTTTCAAGAAAAAGCGGATAGCCCATCGCGTTCACTTAACCCGCTGGAGACTCTTTCTTGAAGTATGTGAAATTATTTCGGCTCGAATAATAAGAAATTAGTGAAATAAGAAGAAAGTTATGTTTATTTTTTGTGATCAGTATCTTATATGTATGTACATTAGTATTAGATTTGTTAACAATATTAATATTAGTAACATTTATAATTCATACTTGATATTTTGTAAATATTTAAAATACGCATATTATAAATATAATATAAATAAATATAAATAATATAAATATTATAAGAGAAGTTCTTACAGTTTTGAAATTCCCTGCAGACATTTTATCGTCAAAAGTTAGAAAATGTGAATATCGACCTCTTTCAATTTTTAATTAAAAATAATAAAACAATAATTTTTTTTGCCTTTTCTAATGTTTTAATGGCTTTATTAGACCTAATTTAGTATGTATACCAAGTTGTAAACAAATTTATTATACTATTTGTGAAAAAAATAATCGTTTACATTTTAAAATTTCATTACATTTGATAAAATTTTTTTTGGACTTTTTGCTTTTATTATCAAAAATATTGGATTTAAAAAAGTTTCTAAGAGAAAAAAGATATGTTTTTTTATCTTCTATAAAGTAGTGCTTCTGAAAAATCCGAATTTTGAGTTTCAATTTTGAGGTGTTGATTGGCTTCAAAGCGACCGGCCGAGCGTACTGGTTGTTATTGTTTCCGGCCCCTCAATTACCAATTCAATTATTCGTAATGATTTTTATATTTTTCCAAAAATTTAATTATCCGAAAGCTTTTTGCAATTAAAAACTTTTGAAATTCATTTTTCGTCTATAAATTCTAATAAACTTTTCATCAATAGAAATCACCAAGAATTGTAATTAAAAATTACTTGAATTTCAATTATTTTCGAATATCTGAATTCTAAATCTGAAAATTCAATTCCTTTTCAAAAATGTTATCAAAAATTATCTAATAAATTATTTTCATATTTGTAAAATGTAATAAGTGTCTAACATTTAACAAAATCTTTTGACGTTCTAAATTATCTTAAAATTTCAATTTTAACTCTTCCAAAATTCATTTATTTTTAATAATTTCAATATTTCTTTAAAAAATTCAATTAATTAAAAAGAGTTTCAAAGAATAAATTTTAAATTATTTCGATCATTAAAACCAAAAAATATGCAAAAATTAAAAATTTCAATAAATTGCTTAAATTAGGTTTCAAAAAAATTTTTAAATGGAACTTTTAAGATTTTTTTTTAAATTTGTTCTACTTAATTAAAATGTTGAAAATTTGTCTTAGTTCAATTCTGAAATATTCGAAATATATTTTCTTGATAAATATAATATTCTTCTAGAATTATTCTTATGAAGGAATTAATAAAATGAATTTAATATCTAATAATATAAGTTACTTATAATAAAATATTTATTTACTAATTAAATTTAATTAAAATAAAAAAAATATTTTTTTAACTTTTTAAAATTTTAATCGACTAAAACGACTTTTTTTGCGCCTTAAAGTCGATCCAAGGTCTGAAATTCAATTTTCCTAATTTTGTTTTTTATTAAATTAATTTTTATAATTTCACTTTATAATTTTAATCTCTTTAAATTGTTAAAGATGTTAGTTTAAAAAACAAGAAATTAAAAAAATAAATGAAAAACTGTGACTTAAAATGAAATATAATGAATCCTTATATAAAAATTCTTTTGAAAAAATACTTACAAGGTACAACTGTAGCTTTTCGACGATTCTCATCTCTAGTATCAGAAAACATATTTTGCACTTCAATAATAAGATCTTCGTCAGTAATATCCGGCATTATTCGATCACTATTAAACCAATCATGTAAGTGATTAATATCCAAATATTTAAATTCTGGAATCCTTTGTAAAATTGATAAAAATTCCAAATTTGATGGTGTATCAGATTAAGAGCATATCGTTAAACTATTATTGTCATTCATTTCAGTCCATATATGTTTCCATAAACTATTAATAGTTATCGATGTTATTTCATTCCAAGATGTTGCGAGCCATTGAAGAATTTCATTAATTGTTATATTATTGACATAATTAGAAACATTTGTTCCATTTTCAATGGCAAAATAAAGACTAGTAAGAAATTTATAACGATAACGTCGTTTAATATTTTCAAGAACACCCTCGTCCATACAAATTAAACGTGTCACTTTTGGCGGTAAATACATTGTTCTCATATCACCAATTTGAAAAATATTCTCATCAAGTAAAACACTGTGATCGTCAACAAATAAAATAGCTTTCTGTGGTAATAATTTTTCCTCCAAAAAATTGCCAACCCTCGGTATAAATTCATCTAAAAACCAATCTCGAAAAATTTCATTATCAAACCACGCGTATTTTTGACATTTATACGTAATAAAATCCATTTTTGGTGTTGAATAATCTTTTTCATCAAATTTCACATCTTTTTTTCCAATAACAAGTAGCGGTAATTTTAACATTCCTGTTGCATTACAACAAATTACAATTGATAAACGATCATTATTAGAATATGTTTCCAAATTCAATGTTTTTGGCGGTAATAATTTATGACAAAGAAAAGCCTCACAACAAATAAATACCTGATCGGCAACTAAATTTTCTTGTTCAATAAATGTCTTAAATTTATCATCAAATAATTGATGTGGCTCATCATCGGCAAAACGTTGTTCTGGATTTATAATAATTCCATGACGTTTTTTCCATTTATGTAGCCAACCATCGCTTGCTTGAAATGGCCAACCTGCTCTTAATTGTTCATTTAATTCCATTGCTTTGTGACGAATCATTGGACCTGTTACGGAAATTCCTTGTTTTACACATTTCACATACCAAAGATAAACAACTTGATCCAATTGTTGACTATGAACTTGGATGAGATTTTTTCTATTTAAACCAATTGCATGCTCTGGATTTGTTTTGTACCATTTTTTTATTTTCTCTTTGACACTCATCCATTGATAAATTACTCTTTGACTAACACCAAGTTCTTTTGCAATTGCCAAAGAATTATCACCTTTCTCCATTCTTTTTACAGCTTCCCATTTTTCTTTCAAAGACACTCGTGCTCGGGTTACTTTCTTATTTTCTCCGATTGAATTCATTTTTAAATAAAGAATATTTCAATTTTCAAGAACCTTATTAATTAAAAATGATCATATTAATATTCATATGGAAAATACAATATTTTTAAGATTAGATTTAATTTTCTTAAAACATTTTCTGTATTTAATTTCAATTTCATTCATAAGTTCTTAAAAATTAAAAAAAATAAACAATAATATTATTATAAAGAAGTATTCTTTAAAGAAAACAAATCCTAACCTCAAAAATTTTGCATTTTCAAAATGAATTAATATATATAAATTTAAACGGATACAATAAACTGAATTATAAAAACTTATAGAAATCTTTTGTTTACATACGTTAATAATACTTAAAAACAATTGAATAGTTGTTCATATAAAAATTATATTCGTATTGTTATTGTCCTGGTATTTGTTTGTTTGACACCTGACACTTTTGACAGTTGCCAGGGCTGACAATATAAAGAATTAAAATTAGCTTATATATTAAAGTGTATAAAAATAAATAAGTTAGTAAAAAATTTAGTTTTATAAAAAAAAAATAAATGTAAACTAACGATAAAGCAACTGAAATTTATAATTTACTAAATTAATTAATTTTGAATTGAATTATTTTTTTTAGGTTGCAAACACTTATTAGCGAAAGCGCAGTCGCAAAAAATAGCAGAAGCTTTTTTTTTTATTAATGTTTGTTATCCCTTTAATTGACACATTTTTCTTATAAATTTTTTATGAGAAATTGTGTGTTTTTCGTGAAAGTAAATAAATAAATAAACGTAGGTATATATACATACGATTTGTATTGTTTGATATTAATTTAAAAATAAAAATAAAATAAAAACACTTGTTTGATACTTATCAAATTTAAGAAATCATTTAGTTTATCTATAAGAAGAATTAAAAAATTATTTTAATATTATACGGAATTTTTAATGATTTTTAAATTTATTATGACTATATAGATAAAAATAAATAAGTGATATATAAGTGGACTTTCGTACTTGTGCGTAACAATTATTATCAACATGGGAATTAGTGAAATAAATTTATGGGTTTTAATTCGTAGATATGATCAGCTGGGTAAGTTCACTATTATTCAATTGTATAAAAAAAAAATCTTATCATAGAAACTTTTTTGTTATTAATTCATTAAAAATTGCAAATTCAAAACATTAATTGAAGTTTTAGAATCTGAAGAAGATGTAAAAGATTTGGAATCAACATTGCGTCGTGTTACATTGCCTTCTGGGTCAACATTAGATGAATTGAAATCGACAATTTATTCTTGGATAGGTATCGAAGAAGATTCCTCCAGAGTTTTAAAAATTAGACGTCACGACAATAATCTTATTCCACTTTCCAGTTTACTTAGTGGATCATCAAAAGACAAGTTAGTGTTTTTATTTTATTGATCACGTGAAATTTTTCAATTTCAAAGAGTTAATCGAAAATGATTATTGCTTCATTTTTATTCCAGGCCTTTTATTATTGACATTGTTCGTGTTCACCAATTTTGTAAGTAATCAACTTTTATTTAATTAAACTGTATTTTTATTTTATATTTCAATACTTAATTTAGATACAATACATTTTTTAGTCTTTTTTTGATTAAAATTTTTCCTATTTCTGTTTTTGATGAAAATGAGGCAATTTTTAAAAATTTTAATTAAATTTAGTATAATTACTTATTAATTCTATTATTTTTTAATTCTATTACTTTTTAATTCTATTTTTTTTATTCTTCAAATTCAATTATTTTGTAAACTCAATTATTTGCGTATTCAATTATATTGTAAAATAAATTATATTGATTGATTTTTTTTTTGAAAATAATTCCTGTATCACGATTTTGACAGCGAGAACCGCTAAATTAATTAAAACATACCTAGATAAATTAAAACAATTTAATTTTTAATATAGGATTTAAAAAATATATTTATTTATTTTATTTAAAAATTTTGTTGTTTGAATTATTAAAAATTCTTAATTTATTATAATTATATTAATGTACTATGTTAATGTTATTATTTTTATTAACATTATTACATTATTATTTTCGCATTTTTCTTTGTTCAACAGGTTCAGTGGAAAAACGAACTATTCCACCAGGATACATTGATGCCTTGAAATCAAAACTGGCAAATTTAGAAAAAAGGGTAAATATAAATACACATTTTAATAAGCATTACCCAGTGCAAAATTCTTTCAAAATAGAATAAAAAATTATAAATAATTTAGAAACAAATTATTTAATTTATTGACATTATTAAATGAATTATAAACGATATATAATTTTATCTTAATTATTAAAATCAATAAAATTATCACTGGAAATTTAATTCTATAAGTCGAAATTATTAATCTTCCAATTGAGAAAATTATTTAATTTAAAAATAATTTTTCCTGTTTTTAAAATTGTAAAGTGATGACAAAAATTTGTTTATAGGTAATGGCAGCGGAGTGTGCTTTACCGGAAGTGGCTTCAGCTCATATTCAAGCAGTGGAGGAAGCTGCATCTCAATTAGCAACGTGTGTAGGATTTTTAGATCGACGACTAGATGAATTAGTGCCATCCGATTGGAAATCTCAAATTGGCACTGTTCATTCCGTTGCTTCATAGAATTAAAAAAAAAAATTAACTTCTGAGATCTGATTTTATTATGAAACTATTGTTCAACATCGTAATCGATTAAAAAAAAAGAAGTAACTGATAAAGAAGAAAAACTTTAAGGCAGTATTATAATATATAATATAATTTATTTTGTTGATTATCATACATATATATTTTATCGCTTAGGCACTGCCTCAAGTAATAATTTAATAATTGTAAGTGAATAAAACAAACACGATATTTGAAATACAATTCAATGCAGTATAGTCTATATATCAAGTTTCGAAAAGACTTTTTTCACTTTTTATATAAACAAATCACTAATGCAATATATTGAATTGAATCTCCATATAGCATGAATGTGTGACAGTAGCTGTTCACAAATTATTTCAAGAAAAAGAAATTTAAAAAAATATGTGTTTTCAATAAGTTATTATTTCTATAAATTATTCTATTAATTTACAGAAAATTGTTAAATATTTAAAAAAAAATTACAGCAAAAAAGTTTTATTGTTTAATTAAAAATTAAACAAATAAAGTAATTTTTTAAATTCAAATCTATAATTAAATTAACATTTAGGTTTAATTTGAAAATAAAACTTGAATTAAAAATGCAAAAATAAATTAACTTAACAATTAATTAAAAATTAATTTTCTTAGTTTGTTAATTATAATTTTAAAAAAAAATGAATAACGAAAGCCAAAGTCAAAAAATTATACGTTTACTAATTTTACTTTATAATGTAAATTATTTAATAGATGTAAGAAGAAAAATAATGTTTGTTTTAGAAACTGTTTTTAATTCATCTTTTTTTTTAAAAGGGATATTTTTCAAATTCACATTTCTTTCAAAAAAAAATGAATAAATTATGGTTTACATAAGTACTGGAATTATAATTAAAAAATAATTTTTAACCTTATTCCATTTCTAAAATACGTAGAATACAAATCACTCTAAAATAATTGAAAAAAAACGCAATTTAGTAATTTTTTCATGAAACCAATTTTTGATTAACGTCGTACAAGAATTTTTTGGTTTTGTTTTTAACTTTTCTTTTTCCCAAGTAAACACTTAACATTTTTAAACAATTTTTTTTTCTTTTCTGAATGTTTTATAGATATTCAAAAATATAAGTTATTTCTGTACAAATGTAATACATGGAGTACAATTTTATATAGAAAATAAAAATTATCACGAATTTTCTGGTAATTATATTATTATCTACATTTATAAGTAATCTAAGTTATTTAAAACTAATTAACTTGTGCAATACATTTTTCCGTAAATATATATAATATTTATAAATAACTCTGTGTTATACCATGCATAAAATTGACATATAATTATTTTTCACCTTTGATTATAATATAACTTATATGAATAATAAAGAAGAAAAAGAATTATTATCACTTCTTTTGCTAACAAAAAAAAACATTATTCGATACAACAATTATTTAAAATAATTAAAATACCTATTAGATATTAAAGAAATTTAAATTTTAAAAACAGTGACAAATTCCTGCGTTTATTTTAATATTCATATTTAATTCTTTGGCGAGTTATATAAGTAATTTTTATTAAATATTTTTAATTTTCTTTTTATAAATATAAATAGCGAACCAAAACGTAGGAATATTAAAAATATTGTTCGTATCGAATAATGTTTTAGCACAAGAAATGGTAAAAAAAAAATAACGATATGAACAATTAATGAAAAAAAAGTGCATTCTACTTTCTAAAATAAAAAGTAAAAAATAAATATAAAAACGCAACGAAAAAAAAAATATTTAATTTAATGTACTTATAAAGTACTTAACTTTTGAACTGTCTAAAGACTTGTATTTTAAATTTTCTGTTAATAACCGGTTTTATATTATTTACAGTGATAAAAAATTCACCATGAATCACAATATAGTTTATTAGATTTTTTTTTGTCATAAAACATGACACTTTCAAAAAATCGCGAGATAAATAATAATTACTTTTAATATTTAAAGTATTTACATGATATCGATATCACTTTTGTTTTTTTTTACTGCATATTTCTTCTGCTAACGTTGAAGTTTTTCTTTTTTTATTTTTCGATCTTGAACTTTTTGGTGTTTCACATGAAATTTCATGTCGTATTATATCATTATTGAGAAGTGTTAATTGAATATCGGTTTTATTCTCACTTGTTTCAATATCGACATTGTATGTATTTGCCAATTGTAATACAGCAGAAAAATAACGTGCAGCTTCACCGGGTGATTGATCAACAATCAATGTGTCAAAATTAATTCTATGTTCAGAATTTTCTGACAATTTATTTATAATACGATCACTGTATTCTTGAATATGAAATGGTGGCCTTCTTTCAACTTCCTCAAGTTTTGGCCTAATCATTTCATGCCATCGAGCAACATTTTGCTCTAAATCCGTTCTAACATCAAATTCTTCTTGAATTTCCTTCATTCGCGATTCAATGATTTGCTGATAGTTCAAAGTCGAATGAAGTGGCGATTCTTCTTCTTCTTCTCCTCTTTCTTCTTGTTCTTCATCTTCGATTTCATTATCGAAAATTTCAGTCTCAAAAGTTTCAGCCACATAACTTTCAGAAACATGTGGCGAACTTGGTGATGAATTTGATGTATCAAAAATGACAATTTCTGGTGAATGTGGACGTGGTGAAAATCCCGCATCACTACCAGTTGTCGAGATATGCTCAGGTGTTGGGGCAAGTGTTTTGAAACCTGTTGAATTTAAAAGTGGATCTTTTTTCGTGAATGTTGGAAAAAAGCCAAGAAGATCCATTGTAATTGTTGTTGCCGCCTCGTATTGAAGAACATCGTAACATTGTCTACTCTTGAAACAATCTTCAAATGATTTTTGAAAATCATTCAATTCCTCTGTAATTGAATTTTACAATTAATTTTCTTAATTTTATATCTTCAAGTTGAATTCTTTTTAGTTTTTTTAAAACATTTGTGTCTCTTAAAAGATGTAAAAAATTTACATAATTTATTTATTTTAATTTACTTTTATAATTAGAAAAAATTCAGAAAAAGGCGGAAAAATAGTTAATATTAGTGATTTAAATTACCTGTTTTTAGAGCCATGAAAGATCTTGATGGCGAATACATATTTAACTTTTTTAATGGAGATTCCGGAGATTCATTCATTAAAAATCCCAATAAACTTCGTTTTCTCTTTGTTGTTCCCTCTGTTGAAAGTTTTCTTTTACGCTGCATTAAAAAATTATTAATTTTAACATTATTATAAGAATAAATTATTATATTAATGAAATGATTCCGTTACAATTTTCACTGTAAAAATCATTGAGGCTTATTTTTTAAAAGGTTCCACAATTTTAAATTCTAAATTGTAGAATTTTAAAAATTTATCATTCCAATAGAAATAATAAATATAAATAAATAATTGTTTAAAAACAATTTCAAATTTCGCTACATCAGGAAAAAACAGAAATGTTATTAGGTTATATATTTTTTAATAGAAATTGAAATCCTCGAAATTTTAAACAACGTAAATTATAAATTCTTGAAATTTAACTGATGATCCTTTTAAAATTCAATTTCTTTCATATAATTTTTATTATTTTTCATCGACAATATTTCTTTTACCATTTTTTCATGATTCCGAATAATCAATCGTATTAATTTTTTTTTTAAATCAATATTAAGTTTAATTGTTTAAAAAATTTTGTTTAAATTGAAATTTTTAAATAATTTTTAGTTTTAAAGAATTAATAGTGTGATTTAATAAAAAAAAAATGTTGAAATTAAAAGAAAATAATAAACTTACAAATTTTTTTTTACTTGAAAGAAAAATATGAATAATTATTAGCAATGGAAAACTTACCGAAGCAGGCTTCGATTTTAAAAGGGAGATGTCACATGGAAGTTTAAATTTACTTCTAGATCTTTTTTGTTGCTCTGGAATGCCTTGATCAAATGGTATTGGTTTCCAAACAGTTTTATCCACTTCGTTAATCACACTAATCATATTCTTTGTTCTTTCACTTCTGTAAATTACAATATTTTATAACATACACAAAAAAATGGAACTTACATTTAAAAATAATTAAATTTTATTCTATTAGTTTCTATTTTAAAAAAAAATAAAATAAAATACCTTCTTCGGGGAATTTCAAAATCCTCCGATTCACCGGATCTGTAACCAGAATCGGTTTCTTTACAGCTTTCGGAAATACTTTCATCTTCTTCCTGCTCCTGATTAGTCGGCAGTGAATCAACGATAATTGGTTGTCCTTCAGTTGGTTCTTTTGAATTCTCTGGATCATTAACATTTTTTGAATTATCCATTATCGAATCACTTGTTACTGTAGTTTTACTTGGTCCTGACTGACAATTAACGTTGACAATTGTTTCATTCTGATTCGCAGAAGAAGAATTCAATTCTCCTGAATTGGAAATTTTTTCCAAAGTATTTTCTTCCAAGGGATTATTTAAATTCGAAGTAGTTTTTTGATTTTTCAATCGATTCGAAACAATTTCAATTGTTTCTGTTTGATTATTTACTGAAGATTCTAAAGGATTTACATTATTTTCCAAAATTTGTGAATTCTGTAACTCCTCAGTATCGTCTTCGCAATCCATTAAATTGTCATCAAAATGAGATGCGTCATTAGATAAATCTTCTGTACAATCTAATTCGTTTGTTTCGAAATTATTTTCAACATTTTTTGAAATTTCTTCAGTTACTTCAATTGTCGTTTCTTCATTTTGGTTTTCTTGAAGAGTTTCGGTAATTTCTTCACTTGTTACAGTCTGTTGAATTGTTGTTTCATTTCGGTTCTTTTCAACAGTTTTTGAAATTTCTTCAGTTACTTCAATTGTCGTTTCTTCATTTTGGTTTTCTTGAAGAGTTTCGGTAATTTCTTCACTTGTTACAGTCTGTTGAATTGTTGTTTCATTTCGGTTCTCTTCAACAGTTTTTGAAATTTCTCCAATCAATTCACATGATACACTCGTTTCAATTGTTGTTTCTTCATTTTGGTTCTCTTCACGAGTTTTTGAAATTTCTCCAATTAATTCACATGATACACTTGATTCAATTGTTGTTTCATTTCCGTGGACTTGAATAGTTTCCGGTATTTCTTCAATTGATTGCAGTGTTGTGCTTCGTTCAATATCATTTCTTATGATAGAATTTTCAATTTTACTCTGATCATTACTTGTAATATCCATTGATGAAAAATAACCAGTGTCTTCTTGCATTGTTTCATTTTCTTCTTGTGTTGTAATATCAGGCGAACTTAAATCTGATATTTCAAGTCGAAGTATCGGAGAATTACGAGTTGAATCCGAAGCATGAACTTCGTCAAAATCTAGAAATAAAATATAAATTCACAGAAATTTTCAATTTATAAATAAATTTAAAAAAAAAAGATAAAATTTGATTGTTGATTTAGAATGACTGGAATTTAAAGAAAAAGAGTACTTACCACTTGGCATGCATTCATCGACAAGCATTCCATTTGACGTTAATTGTTGATTACAACTGAAAATGGAATATTAAAATTCAAATTTTCATATATTTGAAACGTTAAAATGTTATTTTTAATAAAAAAAAAATTAGAATTTACTCACCGAAAATCATATTTTTTTCCTATAATTTCTCCATGAACGTCAAAAATATCAATTGGATTTTGCAAATGTGTTGTTGCAATTTCCAATTGTGGAAATCGACGATTCAACAGTTTTACATGTTTCTGTGACGAAGGTTTGAGATTTATATTTTTGCCTATTTCTTTACGAAAATCAATCATTTCAAAATTGTCAAAATTAATTGCCGTCTTTCTTGATCTTCTCTCTTTATTTTTCAATTTGGACTTTTCTTCCTCGGCTCTATTAATTAAATAATAATAAAATTTATTTATTAATACAACATTAAATTGTCATCACAGTATCTATTTCTTTATGAAAAAATAATTAGAAAAATTGTTATAACTAGTAATTTTCCCGTTAATGAACTATTGATTTTTCCCAATATTAAACATAAAAATTATTAAAAGCTGTAAAAAAATAAAATTGACGTTCTCTTTTAAATTAATCAAGATTTAATTTTGATTTAAATTTTGCTTTGAATTTATTTTTTCAATTTTACCAATTAAGAAAAAAGATGCAATCTTTGAAATAGAGAAAATCGAAAATAGAAGAGAAAACGTTAATAAGTAACGTGTGATGATTTGTTTTAAATAAAAAAAAAAAAACCTATAGCTAATAACAAAAAAATTAATAATTTTCTTACTCGTGTTGAATAAAATTTTCACTAAGTACGCAAACTTCTTTGCTCAAAGAATCCACTCTTTTTGTGAAAACTTCAGTCGAATTTTGCACAACAAAAGCAGCTTCTCCATAATTAATTTCTCCAGGATTTTCCAATAGGGCAAAATACTTTCCTAATGTCTAAAATAATTAGAATTTTAATTAAAAATTTAAATCTAATGGTAGATCACAAAATTCAATTACTTTTATTATGTCAAATGAAAAACATTTAAAAATTGACCGTTCTTTTTTTTTAGTATTACAAATTAAAACATTAATTATAAACAAATAAAATTTTGAGTTTTTTGTAAGTAAAAGGTTTCAAAAAACGTACCTCAGACAAAGGGTATTCCCAGTCTGCAAGTTCTTTGACAGGTTTCATTAGCTGATTAGTCACTTCTTCCAATGAGGACATATTTATTGTCATCTCAGAAAAGAAAAATCAATCTAAATTCTAAACAAATACTGTTATTAAAAAAACAGGGAATTTAGTGCAATTAAATTTCAAGTGTCAGTTAATTTATTTTATTTTTTTTTTTTTCAAGTAAAATTTACTTTAAATAAAAATTTAAAAAATAATTTCGTTTGATTTCAATTTAATTTGTTAAAATTTAGTAATTTTAAAAAGAGACAGGTAAATATAATGTTAATTTATATACTGTTGAATCTTGCTTATAAAATAATGGTTGTATTCGCAAATTCTTGAAAGTGATGACAACTCTAAAAAAACAAGACTTCGTAAACATAAAAATGAGCCACTTGGCAACAGCATTTTTTTTTCGCAATCTTATTATAAAAGTGTTACATGAAAGATAACAATTTATAAAAAAAAAAAAAAGATAAAATTCAACTTAAAACGTGAGCACATTTAGGGTAAAGATGAAAGTATACAAACAGATAGATATATATCAACAAACGGAAATTTCAATTGAATCAAGGAAATTAAAAACAAAAATTGTTACAAGAAGAAAACTACTAAATTTTAACAGAAAATGTCAAATGAAACATAAAATTTAAATTTTTTACAGTTGACAAACTTGAAAAAATAAGAAATTAAAACATTTTGCAATAATTAGAAACGTGTGTGTACGAAATCCTCATGGAATTAGAAAGGCTACTCTAAATTGAATGTATTATTAATTAATACAAAAAAATTTTAATATAACAACTATAAAAAATGTTAGTAAAATATTCTTACCTATTGTACACAATAAATTTATTGTACAACGGTACTAGGATAATACAATGTCGAGCAAAATTAAATTGTATAGCGTTGTCGCCATTTTCTCGCTTCAATATTTATCATCAAGGCTGGAGCGCAGTTGATTTTCGTCGATATTTCAGATTCGGGGTGAGAATTACGTAAGTAGTGTTATTACGTAAATTTAAATTTTATCACTAATTTTAATTTAATTTAATTTTACATTAATTTTTATATTATTATTTTTAATTCTAAATATTAGAATTATATTAATTACTTATTTACTTGTATAATAATATTTTAAAAGTCGTATTAATATTTTTAGAGAAAAATAGTTTTATTCCTTAACTTCCAAACCCTGACTTCAAGTCAATAGTGATCAGACCCTGGTTTATTTTGAATTGTTGCAGTTAGAAAGGATTTGCCAGGATTTGCAAGAAAAATTAATTTTATTTTAATTTGCACAATTATTTTTGTGTACTTTTTATATTTTAGATAAAGGATTATTTGAAAATTTACTTTTGAATTTGAGTATGTATTGTGAAAATTGATCAACAATTGGTTATATGGCAGTTTTATAATCCCCTCTCTCTCATACACTATTAAAATTCAAGAAAGGGACAACGACGCTTGTTCGTTTGTTGCTTGCTGCACAGTCTCTTGTAAACCGTTGATAGTGTTGTGTTTACTTTTTCAAGGTAAACGTTCTCCTGTACTCTCGACTTAATTATCTCCTAAGAGCCGGGAAATTTATTTTTTTCCCAATTTTTCTCAACAGTTTGTTTAAATATCAAATTATTTATAGAAAAAATGGCAGTAAATGAGTGTTACGGAATGATTAAATATATTCTCGTATTCGTGAATCTCATATTCTGGGTAAGTTTATTTCCGCCCTTTTATCTATATGTTACTTATTTTAGTTTTCTTCGACAATTTTTTTTTTAATATTATAAATAATGAACTTTATAATCTTTACATATTTCCAATATTTTATTTACTATTTCATACATTTTTTTCTAATTTAGAAAATAGAATTCATTTTTCTGTTTTATTTACCGCCCTACCCTACAATTGCCAGAAAAACAAAATTCCAAAATTGTTTATTTCAAAAAATTTGATTTCCTGTTTTTTTCGTTATATTTTTCTTTTTATGTAATTTGTGTTTGTATTTTTTTTTTTTTTTGTATGCGGAAATTGGAATCATTTAATAAAATCCAAACAAAATATGAGTAATTATGAAAACTCGTTTTTATGGTTTATATACAAATTTATGATATTTATATGGATTATTTTATTTACTAAAATTCTATTAGAAACACGCAAAATAGTTGTTATCTGAAATATGTTTATTCGATTTATGAAACATAGAGGAAATCATATATACAAATGTCATATTTGTTTTACACAGTTCATTTCTCTCTTTAAATGAGGGAACATCTGCTGGCACCGATTACAAAGGACACATTATATTTTTCTTTGATTAAATCTAATGTTTTCATTAACAAAGTTTAATTTTAGATTTATAATTTTTTTTATTTATATTTTTTTTCCATTCATTTAAATGTCTGTTTATTAATTTATTAGAAATATGTAATTAATCAAATTATTAATAATTTAATAAAGGCAAAATTAATACGGGATTTATTAATTTTTATTTTTCTTATAAAAATTTTATTCAAATCTATGAATTAAAAATAAAGTCTCGTTAGAGGAAACTACTTAACAAGAATAGAGTTTCAATTGTATGGACTAGTGTGAAATTCTTATCGTGGTGAATTCTAGTCTTGTTTTAGTATGAATGTTGAAAGGGGGTACTAAAACGCTGAAAACATCTTTCCTACGCGCACGTGCTGCTCATGTTGAAATTCAATTCTAAGATTAGCTGTGCATACGATAATATACTTATAGTAGTCTAGCCCTATTGATTTCATTTTAGAAATTTTGAAAAAAAAAATCACTGAAAATTGATGAATATTTCGAAAGAGAGCCAAAGGCATACAAATTTTTCTCTCTAACTTTAATTAAAAGAAAAAAAAGATTAATATTTGAGAAAAACTCGAAATTATATATTATATATATCTATATATATTTTTTTTTATAAATATTCTGACTACTAAAAATACAGTAATAATGAAATCATAAATATTTTTATACACTTAAGATGATCTCACGTGAGATGCATCACTAACTATGAAATACAGAACACGACAAGTGAGTTCACTGAGAGTAATAGTTAAATTTATTTTTTTTTTGTCAACATTTTTAAAAATTTGAATTAAATTTTTATTTTAAAATTCGATTTTACAATCTAATTAAAAATTGGAATTAAAAATTGAAATTAAAAATCGGGGATGTAAAATTTTGAGTTTCATTTTTTTTAATTTGGAAAAAAATAAACAAATTTTGATGAATCGTCAATATTCTGCAATATAAGAATCGTTAAAATATCCTTTGAGTTAACAGGCAAGGTCAAAGACCTTAGAATGTAGAAACTTATATAAGACATTCTTCCCCCTCTTCTCCACCCTCTAATTAGCATTTATAATTATCAGGATTATTCAAAAAAATAAATAGGAACTGCAAATCAAAAAAATATTTTAGAAAAAAAAAAATTTTATACACGTTTATTAAAAAGAAATTGATTTTTTTTTGTTATTTATTTATTTAATTTATTTATCAAGAATGACATTTAGTTTAGAGAAAAAGGACGACATTAAAATGCCGTTTTGATATTGTAGATTTTTTTTTTTTTTTCTCTTAGAAACGTAAATCCGGTAGTCTAGCGCAGCTGTATCGATTTACTCTTTCCCACTCGTCTTATTTAAATCAACGCAATTTGCGTTTTTGTATATATATATTTTACATCTACCGCACAGCTTATCATGATGATTAATATGCCATTAAAATATAGGTCAAAATTTTATTTTATCTCTTCTTTATAATCAATCAATCAATTAATCAATCAAATTCATTCTTGAGCTTATAAAAATAGCTTTATTTTCAACTAAAAATATCCCTAGACATAATTCGAATACAACCTTCCTTGATATATATATATAAAAGTCATCGAAATCTTATTATACAAGTTGTCTATTTATAATTCATTTATTTTTATATAATTAGTCACAAATTAAGTTTATATATTAAAAATATAATATAGGTATAATAAAAGCATAAATCATAAATGGAACAATTTTTTACAAAGCTGAAAAAAATTTATCTGATTCAAATAAATCAGTTACTATTATCAAATAAATATTTGTTTGTATCAAATAATTATTATATTTGAATTTAAATAAACTATTTAAAACAATATTTTCTGTACTTGAAACAAATAATAAAAATATTTATTTGATAATAGTCGATTATTTGAATCAAATTAATTTTTTTTCATTGTACTTCATTTAAATTCAAATTTTATTAATAAAATATTGATTTTTTGTGTCAAAAAATAAATTAATAATTTAATAATTGTTTATTTTTCAGGTTCAGTTTTTCTGCTACATAATTAATTGATAATTTTATTAATAATTAGCAAACATTGATTTGGAATTTGCTTTGAAAATGTTGAATGAAAGAAATTCGTTTGAATTGCCAATTTTTAACAGAACTATATAAAATTCTTAATAATTTGTAATTGGCTAATTAAGCGAAATTCACGTGAACAAAAATAAATACTAAAATATTTTAACAAATTCCGTTAATTAAAAATTCAGTGAAACAAAAATGAAAAAGAACTAATTTATAAGAGAAGAAAAATCGAAAGAAAAATTTATTTGAGAATGTTTACTATTTTTTTTTCTACTTTTTGGATAATAATGAAAAAAATATTTTCTCACGTTCAAAAATTTAATTTTGGATTAAACTCCTATAAATTGTATATAAAAAATAATATTTTTTTTTCCTTAAAATTTTGAAATAATGCAATATTTTCATATTGAAACTTTTGCATGTGACTATACATCTTTAAGTTGAGTTCGTCGACCACGTCCTTATTTGACCCGTCAGTTTGATTATCGTCAATTCCATATACAAGCCTACACTATGTACTCCTACGATATAGTGAAAAAAATATGACATTCTCACTTTCACACGTTAAGATAAGGATTAGTTGACAGTAATTGAGATCAATTATCGCAGTCGCTCATTTTCCTCTTCCAAGGTATTAAAATTATTTCTACATTATTTTTTTTTTTTTTTTTTTTTTGGTAAATGAAAAAAAATTCTCCCTATTGTTAAATGAAAAAGAATATTTTTCCCTTTGCGGTTTAATGCATCGATCGTGTTTTTCTGTTGCAGAAAAATACGAATCGATATACATTTTAGATCACAAAATAAAGTTCCGAGCAAAATCTGATTATCCTTGTGTTCTCAACTTTCTCTGGCAATGAGGGGGCCTTTCTTTTATTGTATATAATAAACGTAAATGCCGGGTTTCAATGTTTACATTAAATAGAAAGCCAATATTTGTTATATAGAAAAAAATATATTAATATTTATTTTATTAACAATTAAATTATCAATAAATAACTGTAATTTTTTCTCGTTTGTATTTTTTTACTTACTTTTTTTTGCATTGTACAAAAAAAGTTATTTTTTATTCTCGAATTAAATATTAAATGAGAAAAATATTAATCAACTAGTAAAAATAATAATTATACTTAAAATTAATTTCTATCAATAAATAAAATAATTCTTGTAAATTCTATTTAAATGGTTTTCAAACCGTAGGCTTGATAATTTTGCAAATAAAAAAAAAATAAATAATATTGAACGAGCTATAAATTTTTTTTTCTCATTTACCTCTTTAACCGACTTATTTAAAGGTGATATCGTTTTTGACACAAGGATGATCAAAACCAGAAAATCAAAAGCATAATTTTTCTTTTATCGCGATAACATAAATAATTTAATTTATCTTGTCAGTCATATATTGCGAAAATACATTTGCAACCTACCAGAAACTTCCTACACACAATTTTAAAAGCCTTGAGACAACTGGCGAAAGCTCTTTTATCTGTATACCAATAATATAAATGCGGAAATTTTTTTTAGAAATTCTTTTTTTTTTTTTGTTATTGAAATTAGTATTTCCTTTTTTTTCATAGGTTTTTATGCATTTTCAATGTTGAAAGAGAAAAAAAAGAGTGTCATGTTCAAGGAGAAATAATTTAAATTCTTGGCACAGATCCAATATTCCATTAACTTCTGTTATGTTTACTTTTTTGTTTGTTTTGCATTGTGTTTTATAAAATTGCTTTATTTTTTTATTTAAAAAATATTTTTATTTTATTTTTCAATCGTTTCATATTTTTCCAAAAATATGAAATTTATTAATTATACATTAAAAAAATTAATTAATATATTTAGCTAAATAATGGTAATCAATTACTTTACTTAATTAAAAAATATTAAATCTTATATTATTATTATTATTATTATTATTATTATTATTATTATTATTATTATTATTATTATTATTAGTATCTTATATTAAAATCTTCACTAACAACATTGCCTCTTAAAGTGCCTTTCTTAATATGTTTCATTATTACGTGATAATAAATCCCTAAGAGATTCTAATTAAATTGGGACTCGAATTGAATAACAAAGTAGGACATTTCAAATTAAAATTAGCCCTCTTTTTTGTAATATCTAAAAATGGAATTTTTTACATCAAAATATTAAAAATTGAAATTTCAAAAATTTCATTATTCTACATCTAAATTAATATAAAGGATAAATTTGCTTTTTTTATAAATTTGCCATAAAAAAAATCGAATTTAAAACGAGCTTTTCAAAAATTAAAAAATACAAAAAAGATTATATTATTAATTTATTAAAACTTACAATTTCATGATCTTAGAAATTCACGC